TCATTGGTATGAATGATAAAGAGCTTCCTGAACCTAAGCTAATGAGGAAGTCATAGAGGAAGAGGGAAAGAGTGGGAGAAACAGAGTGAGAGGAAACCCACCATTAAAGAGATAACCTTTGAGCTGAATAAAAAAGGAGTTTCTAAGACTGACTGCTGATTTATATGGGCAGCAGGGAGTCTGTACAACACCAGCCACCAACAGCGAATCTCCACAAATGGTTGTCAGGCAAATGAAAAGTGAAATTTAAAGAGGGTGATCTGTGAAGGGTTATATGGAGCCTTTATTCATTTTGTGGACCATAAAGAGGCTTTAGTAAATTGCACTAAACATCACTGTCATACAACTTAGCCTTGTTCCATGAGAAAATAAAGCCAACCACTTTATTTTCTGACAGAAAACACAAGACCAGCATTAAAACACACTTGTCGAGGAGGGGTCAGGGTTATATTTGTTTTAGATAATATAACTAGGGCTGCAACTAAGAAATATCTTGCAAATAAAAGATTAATCTGTTGATTATTTTTTTGATTAAACAATTAATAACAAAACAGCCAAAGATTCTTTAAACAAGACTTTTTACGAAATTAAAGCAGGTGAAACTAAAACATTTCCACTTCAGAAGTTCTGGATAGAGCATATTGACAGACACATTTTTTTTATCTTAAATGCAAAATGTTTGTATATTTTTTACAATTTTGGTACAATTACTGCTCTTAGCGGGTTGCTCTGTCAGAATACTCCAATTAACGACTAATTGATCACCAAATTAGTTGACGACTATTTCAATAATCGATTAATCAGATTTAAATCAATTAATTCTGTCAACCCTATATATATATATCTATATATATATATATATATATATATATATATATAATGTCATTTTCCTGCATCAGTAGAACCTTTCATCTGCCTGCGCACACATTTGAATTCATATACCTATAGGCACACATATATGCCCCCACCCTCTATTGCACTGCCGCCTGACACTGCTTTGTCCTATGCCTCCATCTCTGCTTAGTTGTCTTCCCACTCACATACCAGGTATATATATATGTATATATATATATATATATATATATATATATATATATATATATATATATATATATATATATATATATATATATATATATATATATATATACATATATATATATATAAAACATATTAAAAAAAGGAAAAACCTACAGATAGAAAATGTATAACATACAACAATATATATCAAAGACCTACAAACAGACTGATACATTTGAGCATAACTAACAACGGAACACAGAAAAATACAGAAGAGCAAAGAACAATTGCAGTTAAGCACTGAGGTATGAAGCCTGAGAAAGGTATGACAAGAGATTTCTAAAGCTCTTCAAACCTGAGACATGGGGTAAATATTTGAGTAGTGACGGATATACAATGAGAGGTTAACAAAAATAAGAGTCTAACAGATTTGATAACCTTTGAAATGTAGTTGTTTTATGCTTTAAAAAGAGTTTTCCACAGTCCAATACATCAAATACGGTCAAAACGGGATTTCCATTTATCCTCTAGTATCTCTTATCAATACAAGTCTAAGAAAAAGTCAGGAGATGTTTACTGAACAGAAAAGCTCCGCTGCAGCAAGAATCAACTATGAACGTCATAAATATGAGATGGGGTTGTTTTCAGAGAGAAAAAAACTCTGTTATACAACTCTTAATTAACAGTTCTGAACCATTTCATTATGAAAACCATTTTCCTTTACTATTATCTTTAAAAATTAAATTAAAGCACCAATTTGACATAAAATTACAGTACCTTAAAATCATGCTTGATTATTACACCATTTAAAGCCGCTGAAAAAAACTCAATCACTAAGAGAGCACATTAATGTCAGACAGAATGAGTGCATAGAAAATATCCACTTTATAATTACTTTTTTACTGTCTTTTTTCTGTTTTCTCATGTAATGCACTTAGACATGTCTTGTTGCAGAATTGTGCCATACAAATACATTTTTCTTTGCTTTGGCAGGCCTCTTAAGTCGACGCTTTTGAAAAGAAAATGATACGGGAAATAAAAGCCCACTTTGAGATTTTGCAGGCTTCAAATGGCTATGACTCTATCTTAAATAAAAGGGAACTATTTGAAAAAAATAAAAAATTATTTTAATGAACAACTTATTTTCGTATCCTGGGTTAAGATGTTTAAAAGACTTCATCTCATCTGTAGCTGAAGGAAAATTTAAAACCTCTAACTATTGACAAGGCTGGGCAACATTACTTAAAAATCTAATTCCAGATTTTTTTCCTGAAGAATCAGATTTTTATTTTTTTTTCTGACTCAAGTTTAGTAATTAAAACAACAAATGACATATAGTGCTTTGAAAAACTAGCTTTTATTTAAGACCTCCTCTCCGGAAGGTGACGTTTATTTAAAGGGCAACAAAATTAAAGCCCTTAAATGTGCAGGAAAATAGTGTTTCAAAACAAACGTGAAAATATAACATACTAAATGTTTGCAGCTGGTGGTATTACACAGTGAGTTAGTTTATTAGTTATGAGTAGACATCTAAGAACAAAAAGTGAAGAACTGATATCACTCTGAGCTAAGGAAGTATAAGGAGCGGATTGGTGAGAACAAGCAAAGTTTTACCAAAAAAGGACACTGTCACAAACAAAATGCTAAATTAATCAATCAAATTGATAATAGATTCATTGAGTATTTTTTTCATTTTTTACAATTTTACAAATGAAATTTTATTAATCAATAAAATGTATTCATTGCCCAGCCCTACCATTCAACTGACTAAATCTAATTGTCATTACAAAGTTAGCCCTTGGCTTTCCCCTAAAAAACACTTAGGTCATCAGGAAATGACCAACGACTGACTAGCTCAAGTGGTTAGTCACCCATCATGCAAACAGGAAGCCTGGGTTCATATTCCAGCTGGGGGGGGGTGAGCTGAAAACATAAATCCTTAGGTAAGACCATTTACTCTAATGCCTGGTATAGTGGTTGGGGCTTGGAGCTCCTGAGGTTCTGAGTTCAAGCCCCACTCCCACAGACTGCCACACTGGATCCTGAACAGGACCCTTAACCCCCACACTGCTCCCCGGGCACCGCACAGTGGCAGCCCAATGCTCTCCAAGAGGATGGGTTAAATGCAGAGAGTTCATTTTGTTGCTCTGTACTTGTGACAGTGTAATGACAACAAAACGCTGTAAAACAAAAAGGAAAAATGAGAAAAAAAGGAGCCACCGGTGCTCCCGAGGGCAAGCCTGACTGAAAGTGATATAATCAAGACAAAAACATCCAACTTTGATTAACAAACAAGATAACTTTACGTTTTTAAAGGATATATATTTAAGGTGCATTGCTCAAGTTTAACAGTTAAATATAAAACTTCTGTATTTTGCATACGTGCCCTTACAGTTGCCTGACGTAAAATGAGCTCTCCTCTGTTCATTATAGTTGCCTCAGTAGAGTCAATCGGTCAGTTCATGTAAGTGATTTAGGTTTAATTCTCTTGTCACACTTGTGGGTGTGACCAGAGAGTATAGAAAAAGGATGTGATCTGTGAAGATAGATCACAAAAGACCAGCCATAATCCACCTCCAACATCATCACAGATGAGAGAGAAAATAATGTGAAGTACGACGAATAAGGCCTGAATTGGAATCTTGATCAGTAAAGGAATGAAACAAGAGTTGAGCTTAAAACAAGGAGAGAGCAAGGATCTGACGTGGGAATAAGCTTTCTTTAGCTAAATTGGTAGAATTCTCAGTTCCAGATAATTAAATGATTTCTTTCTTTCCTCAGATGACATCACATATTTTAAAAAAGATTCATTTAATGTAATATAATGACTTATGCAAGCTAAACAATAAATATGTTAAATGTACCGAACCATTCCCTGATAAACCAAGCATTCTGGATCATCTCTCTACAGGTGGTTGAAATGATTATGTTCCACAATCTCTATTTCTTTTTTATTTACTTATTTTCTAAAAGACCTTAAGATTCATATTTCAAACGTTACATGTTGCTTGACAGGACCAGCTATTGCGCTGAAGTGACATTTGCCTTCCTGCCAGGGATATCCGCGCTACCCTCCTTACCCCACAGAGCTGGACCACACTGGCACAGCAGTATTGTGTCTACACATAATCTAGGAATCAACAGGCTTCTGTGAGTCTTTATCCAGCTCTTTTTCAGAGAATACAGCATTAACTTGGCACAGTATGGAAGCGTGCAATATTGCTTTGAGCGGCTGTGGATCGTGCATCCCTGATGCCTTTGATTTCAAGAAGGATGAAAACTTCATGCTGCGTAGCAGGAGACAAACCAGGCAGACAAAGTGTCAGATTGTCTTAAAACGATCGGATAGAAATAAGGTAAGGATGAACCATGGCAACAAATGCGCGAAACTTAATGAGGATCTTGATTTTTTTCTAATATGGAGTTTGGTCGTCAGGTTGGAGAAAATGCATCTTGATGCCTTCACCAGTGAGTGGGTTGCTAAGTTGCCTACAGCTTATTGCACTTTTACAAAAGCAGACGGGGGAGTCTCTACAATAGTTTCTGTTAATGCTGCAGTCAGAGGATTAAATGTCCAAGAAGCGACCAAGTCAACCATCAGAATGTTATTTAAACTCAATAATCTATTTAGAAAGTATATAAACAATTATAAAGCTAGGGATATTAAGCACATTTACACACATAGCTGTACTTAGTCAATTGTGCTTTAACTGGTATCATCGAATTTGTAGATCAAAACCAGATTTGAGTAATTTAGAGTAATTTTGAGTAATTTTAGAGTAATTCTGAGACAAACTATTAAACCTTTTCTAAAGATACATATACTCAACACAGTAACAAACAAAAAGATCTGGTTCAGAATATAAAGAAATTACAAATGGGCAAAAAGCCAACATGCAATCAGTATATTACCACAAATATGCATCATTAAGAAAAAAAAAAAAAAACACAAAAGTCCTAATATCAATAGAGGAACTTACTGGCTGCCTGGATGCGGGCTTTACGGCTCACCACACGGCCAAAGGAGTTTTGGGCCATGCACTCATAGTCGCCTTCATCAGATGAGCCGTCAGACTTGGTCTTTTGGAAGTGGGCAATCAGAAGTGAGCCGTTGATGAAGGTGAGGTGATGCTGATCCTGAGTTAAGAGTAAGCTATTGTGCCGCCACTGCGTAGTGATAGGTGGGACGCCGTCCACCTGGCAGTGGAGCATGAGCGGCTGCTCCTGAACAGCAATAATGTCGCTTGGCTCCAGCTTGAAGGAGAGTTCAGCTCCACAACCAACACCTGAGAATAAATTCACACATTGAAGAGATGTTAGGGAAACTTTCACTGAAATATGAACAGCAAAGCTTTACAACCGTTTCCCTGAATAGCTTTTAATCAGCTGGCTGGATTCAAACCTCAACAAAACAAAAACAACAGTGGCAGAAAAAGATAATAATAACAATATGATAATGAGAAACTTTTTCATTTCCGATATGATACCAATATTCCAATATACCAGCATGAATCATATATCCTTTTAATACTATTTTTACAATGAGAAATGAAACATAAGGCTTGATCAAGTGATATTTCTCAAACAGAGAACAATAGTTAATATCAGGTATGAAAATAACAGACCATTTTTTTAATTGTCAAAGAGTTACATAAATTTTAAACAAAAGTGTGTAGGAGCAAAGTGTTTCTATGAGTTTTCTAATATATAGGAGATTTTAGAGCAGGCAGAAATTCATTTTTTGACTGATAGGTATACCCCTAGTGCAGCTGCTTAGCGTTAGATTTAGGGCAGTTTTTTTTTAGATGGATAACAGAACATAGTACTTTCAAGTAATTATTGCAAACTGCTTGATATCAAGAAAACAACTGCTGAAAGATGGGATTACAGTATTAACTATTTACTCTTTTATTTCTTTTTAATTTCTGTGCCTGGTGTTCTTGCCACTTTTGGTATAGCAGTTACTAATACATATAGAGAAGATATCGGGACGCTTAGAGTTTGTCCCACTAAATCAATGATATGCTGAGCATTAAAACATGATAATAAGAAAATAACTTTCTATCAAAAGTTCTGGTCGAGTACTCATTTGTTAAAATGTAAACTCAAATATTATTATTGTATTGTACTGTGCAACTTTAATGTCTCATTTAATGAAATTTCAGATGACTAATATTAATTTTCACAGAACATACAGCTTTCCTAATTTATTATAAAGCATTGGTACATGCTGGCATTTAAACAAAGGAATATAAACATGAGCCCATTCTATGGATGCAAAAAACCTAAAAATGATTATGCATTAGAACAAGGTTTTTTTTTTTTTTCAGATAAATCCATGAATTTCTACCATGAATAAAAAAAACCTGCTTGTCTCCTAAATCATTCATCCTTCTTTTTGGGTTGAGGGGTCATTATTTCACATGTTGTATCAGAGCGGTAGCTCACATAATGAGAAGTCTGCTTTCATTTCCCTTTTAATGGCACACTTTCTCAGACAAAATCAATAAAATATATACAGACATGTTCATTGATCTAAATGCTTTGGTATATATTTTACTTTTCATGTTACAATTTACCTTTACAAGTTTTGTCAAACTCTTGTTTCTACTTTTACCTAAAAAAAAAAGAAAAAAAAAGAAACATATCCTGCCATAAAGTATAATCTTACCACTCATAATAATAATGTGTGAAAGGTCAACAAAGCTTTGTACAGTGCTAAAATTATTAGTCAGATTAATTGGAATTAATCGATTGTTGAAATTTATTGTCAACTAATTAGGTAATCCAATAATTGTAACTAGAGTATAGAGACTGTAAAACATGCCTTTAGCTGACAGAACAACCCACTTAGAGCAGTACCTATACCAAAATTGACATTTTGCATTCAAGATAAAAAAAAACTTTTTAATCTGTCAAATCGCTTAATCCAGAACTTCACATGTGGAAAAGTTTTAGTTTCAACTGATTTAATTCTGTAAAAAATATTATTCGGATTATTATTCAGTAAATTGAAAAAATATTGATAGATTATTCAATTAGCAAAATAACTGTTAGTTGAGGCCCAAGCTGTTTTATATCCTTCCCCCATCACCAGTTCCTATCCATTTAACCTAGTATCATATCGAATGACAGCTTATAATTTTCATTTTTAACCATTAAAACAAACTAGAAGGCTCTTTATGTTCTGTTAAGTGCTCACTAATCCTTGAACCTGATGAATAAAAAGCCTTGACACTTCTAACTTCAGCTTCAGTAACAAGGGATTTCTTGCTATTTAGACTGAATGTGACCAGAGCAAATGATTTCCTGTCTTCTAGAATATATCTGAACTCCAGAACTGCATATCTATAACTCTACTAATAGCTATACTGAAAGGAGAAACTTCAGATACTCTAATGTGTTGCATGTACTTGTAATCGTTTAAGTCCACAACAATGTGAGATCTTATTTTGTGCATGACTTAGTTCTGTAAAACAGCAACCCAGCACACTTTCTTGGCATCATGTTTCAACTACTGATGGACTGAGCACCACCAGTCTCTGCCCAAGGCCTTGGAATCTAGTGGGATGGGCTTCAGGAGGGCAGAGGAGGGGGGATAAGCGCAAGGGTCAAAGTAGGGGACCTCCAGTCAGATCCACAAGCATTCCAAAAGGGAAGTTATTCCCCTCAGGAACAGGCAACCTTTTATCTGACACGCCCCTCCATCAAACACACATGTAAGAAATATTGCACAGAGAAAATCTTCCTCTCTGATTGCTCTGTGTCATTTCCACAAGTGTGCTCCCCTTGCCCCCTTCCTTTTTGCCCTCAAAGAGCACAGTAAGTAAAATGGCCATGAGAGCACAGAGACATCAGTGAACAACAAGGGGGTGGTGTTGCCGAAGTATTTAACCCTTAGCTGGCCTGATTCCGGCCTCAGAGGTGCAGAAAGCAAAGAAGGCTGACAGGCAAACACTTTCCACACATTCACATGAAGCTTGTTCTTTCGTGCAGCGGTTCCCCAACTGTTCTTACAGGCCCCCACTTTGGTTTACAAGAACGTTTTCACAGCACAGGATAGTAACTAAACTACAATCGCTTTAAAATCTTAAAACTACCACCTGTCAAATTTTATTATTTAAAGTTTAACTTTTTTCTGTGTAAATTCCCGACTTCTATCATTACTTAACAAGAAAAAAAAATCCTTTATGCCATTCATATCAACCACATTAAACAGCTATGATTCTATTTTAAAGTCAAATCCGAGTATCTTCCATTAGCAGGGAAAATGTGATAGCGCTGTCTTTCCTGGTGAATAAAGCATGTTGCCCGAGTGACCAGCTAATGCAAATATGAGCTCCGGGTGGCTTTGAAGGTCACAAAGAGTACTGGGAAAAATGTCAGAGAAAATATAACCGAGCACAACAGCTAATTATGATGCTAAACCATTGAGATAAGAAAACAATAAAAAGGTTCAAGTCATCTGTGAAATATGCACATCCAGAGACTGTGGGAAGAAAGGAGTGAGCGGATGGAGAGTTTGTGCACACCTGTAGAGAAAAATGGCCTTAGGTACATGTTTACAGGCTTGAAGCTATACCAGTTTGGATTTTTTTTTTATAAAAAGATAAGAACCAACATATCAAAACCTGTATGCTTTTTTTTTTAGTAATGTTTGAAAGTCAGATTACCAAGAAGACATGAGATAAGTGTTGATTCAGTGAGGCTCTGGGTGGTGACTTATTACTGCTACCAAGAAATAAGTGTTAAGATCTGAAATACACATTCACAGCTACAGTGTAGGATAAAAGATGACAGGCTTTTGCACACATGTAAGGTTAGCAGGCAGGGAGCAAATATGAGGGATCAAGATACTCTACAGCTTTCTAACAGTATTCCGGGTGAGGATATCATACCGCCTGGTGGTGGATGCAAAAATAAAGCTGGAGCTATTAATACCCAAGTGTAGAGTTTAGTAGTAAAATACCAAGGATTTTGTTCATTCAAGATTTAATTCCAAAACCATTTAAAAATCTGAAAGTTCTTAATGTATTTGTTAGGCATTCATTTACAGACGTGAAACAAAGGTGAACCTTGAAGATTAGGATTTGATTGGTATGAAGCAAAACAGATAAAACTTGATCAAATCACCAAAGATGCTGGAAATCGAGTCTGAAATAGAGGACATTTATTTCCCTTTAACACAATTTAGGGTTTTTATAAAATCACACTGGAAACAATCAACATCATATATGAACTATTACAGGTTTGTGTTGTTTTTTTAGCTAATATATAAAAATGAAACTCTCAATTGTTGAGCTCTTTGGTTGCAAGTCATTACAGTTTGCAGACGCTCTTGGCAGAGTATTAAGCCCAGCTGTCCTTCCTGACACAACCAGGTTCCAACATGGGTCACCATATTTCAAAGGTACGTACCAGACCTCAACACCACTACAGACAGACATCGCCTCTATTAGAGTAATTAGCATAAAGTCATTACAGCTGGTATGAAAAGAATGCATTTAATTTTTTATTTTTTTTTTGTCAAACAAGTAGATTTGTCTTTACTTTGTGGATTTCAATCTATTAACTGTTCTACAATTCGAATGAAGAGAAAAAAGTGGTATTATCATTTCTATATAAATAAGAGAAACATCACCTCAACATAAACTAATGAAAATGTCAGCTTATACCGAAGCCTCTTTTTTATCTAATTTTAAGTTTAGGTTTCAAACTCATATTCAGGTTGAAATAAGCAGTAATATCTGAATAAATACCAGCTCAACTTCTATCTTCCAAAGTTAATCATTTCTGGCTAAATGGCTGCGTTTATCCTTTTCCACAGGGTAACTATGAATGTTATTAATACTTACAATCTCACAATTGGCTCCTGCTTAATAAACAATGAATCAATACTCATATGTTCTTAATGCATTTTCTCCTTAAAGAGTTGCATATTATGCATATTCTGTTTCTATTGTTACAAAAGGTACTCAGAGATGATTGCGCTCAGGAAAATTTAATATAATGCAACATGGGGATGCAGAAGAACACAGTTAATGAGCTGGAGAGAAAGTAGGCCAGCGACTTCACTCCTTACTTCCCAACTGTTCAAATTCTACGTACAGTCAGTTCTATTACAACATTTCTGATAGGAATACATATAAGTGAATGAGGCAGTTTCTGGATGGCTCCAGTTTCCATCAAGCTGATGCTGTCACTTGTCAGGGAGGTACATTACATTAGAATTTGACTTTAAAGCTTAAGACAAATATGAAAAAATCTGGAAGTTTTTTGTCCAAACAAAAAACAAATAATAATAATAATTCTTGCTTTTGTCTCCAGTTGTTTTGAATATTTCAATGCTATATTTCTGAGTCTCGCCAAAGAACCCACTGGAAGTTTTCACCCTATTCCAAGTTATTCCTGCAACACTGTTTACCTGGACTAGGACAAAATTGCAAATGAATGAAGTTTTAGTTGTGTTAGCTACCTGAACATCTCAAAACCCCCTTTATAGTTAATCATCACCAAGAAAAGTGGGATCATCTCAATAATGAAAGAACACTACTTTGTTTTATTGCAATGACTTGTTGTTTACTCTTAGCAAGAATGTTTACTTTTTAAATCTTTCATACAATTTCCCACAACCATTTAACAAACATTGAGGTATTTTTGAGATATGTTTTTGGTATTTAAAAATGTTCAATCGGTTTTACCATTTTTATGCATTTATTTGTTTGTACAGTACTTTGAGCTGTATTAAATTTGTTACTGTGACCAAATAATGCGCTAAAGCAGCTCCTTTATTGCCGCTTGGTAAACGTGGCTACTGCTTTTCCTTATCCAAACAATTCTAAGTATCAGAGTGAAGTACTTTTTAGAAACATAAGGCACGTTGGCTGCTTATATGCTGTTGTCAACAACTTGGTTAATGGTGCATTCCTAAAGCATAACTTTGATTAAAGCTGCAAAGTGAATACAATCATCACAGCAATGTCAGTGTTTGCAGAGTTAGAATCACAAAGAATTACTTTAAAGCAGCTTGAGGGCACATTTCTAGTGTACGGCATCCGTGTCTTGCATGCAGATAATAGATTAGGTCACTGAAATGAGCTCTTAGACAGGACTCTGTCCTTTGCGCTGGGACTCTAAGAAATATCCCAATTAGATATGCTTTAGAATTGACTTTATGAAGGTTTAAGGATTATAAAAATATTACATGTGAGCAGCTTTGGTATACAGTAGATAGATGCTGAAGCTGGGAGGAGTAATGGCTGTACGTACACATTGTGTACATACTGTACCCTTTACCCTTTATAGTGATTCCTCTCAAGTGCACTGTTACCTAAAGCCTATAATCTAAGAGCGATTGTGACTAAACACATATTCATTGTTTGATTGCACAATATTGGCCAAAAATTTGTTATTCTACTGTAAGTATGGAATAAAAATGGGTGAAAACAGGTGTCCGTCTCAGCAAATGTAATCACTGTATATAAAATACTGTTATATTAAATAAGGCCTTTGTTAAAGTCACATCACTAAGCAACCTCATTCTTAAGATCTTAAGCAATATTTTGGGAACCATAACAACCATGAGCTTAAGTGAGAACCATAAGGAGTTATTATGATGGTATTTTCTCAAATCCTTGCATCTCTAATTAGTTAGTGAGCAAAACTTCTCATCATGAGATCATTCTAGTGATTTCCTGTATATTTGTTCTGACTTTTTATTCCTACACGATGGAAGGTGGATATAAAAGATAAAGCTTATTTCTGCCTTATCAACACTGCTTAAAATGCCATAAAACCTCCTTTATCTCACCCTAATCTACTCTCTGAGGCAGAGGAGCACTTGAAAGAGCTTAATTTCTTCAATGCACTGAGCAGATTGGAGCTGCATCCATCACAGAGCTGAGTGTGTGTTTCTGACAGTTTTTGTTCCCAGTCCTCGGAGCGAGCGAACATGTTATGAACCAGTAGTCTCTATGATTCCAGCGGGGCCCTTTGTGGGTTCCTGTGTGGTATGCTTTGCAAATACTCCATACACTCTGCAGCCTTTTGAATTAGGGGCCCCCACATAGAGAGAGAAAGTGACTGTCATAGGGAACAAAGCGATGGAGGAGAAAATTTGAAAGGGAGTAGAGAGACAGCCTTGACATTTAATCTGTACAAATATTCTCCCCAGCAGGCAATAACCACAGTCTTTTAATCTATTCTCTGAGCAATAACCGCTGTCATTTCACCCAGCCATGGGGCAGTGTTCTCCAATGACTGTCCGGTCAATAAATCCATCTACTTTTGAAATTCCCCTGATGTGAAACAAACATCCCAGCTCAGAAATCACATTTTTAAAGGTAAAGACACAAAATCAGCCACAACTGACTGTTCTGCCTGCTTTGATTGTGCAGAATCTGTAGCTGAGGTACAAACAAAAAGCACATGTTGGAGACTCCTCCATGCATGTTTGTTATTGTGCCAACACAAGGAGATGGGCGCATAAATACCTGATTAGGGGTTTGAGTTCATTTATATGAATTACTAAGAAGTTATGCAAAAGAAAAAATAATCATAAATCAGCCAGAAACACAAATTAAGATCTCAGCTCCTGGATTTACGATGAAATTTGCAGACAGTAAAGAACAGGACAGCAGCCAAGTTCAGGGTTACGCTGCGTGCGGAACACGCTCCGTTTCCAGCGGGTAGTATGCTCTGTGCAGGCTGGCAGCAAAAGCTTATCACATGCACACACAAAACAATAACAAAAAAACGTTGCAATAATCAGGTTTGTTCTCCTTACCGATTAAAGCATTTAAAAGGATTCCCAAAAAGCAGGAAACAAGGCTTCGGCGCCGTGTGGATGCCATTTAAAAAATAGAACAGAAATATTCCAGCAAAAGAATACGGCTTTAAATGGAGAGGAGGGAGGGGAAGAAGCGGGTTTTCAAAAAAAGACAAAAACAAAAATAAATTGAAAGTCCCAGCTTTAACTAGGGCATGCTCCGACCAACCAATCTGCTGCTCAGGGGCTCACACGGCTCCAAGACGCTCAGCCATTTTACGCGTCTAGGAAACAGTCTATCAGCATCCTACAGCCTCTGTTCAAACGATCTGCTGGATCCTAAGCGCTGCTGTGCTGGCTGTGGGTCTCTCTCTTCTCACTGCTTTCTCTCTGACACCCCCCCACCCCCCAGCAGCAGACACAAACACAAAATCCGGATCTGCTCCTGGAACAAAAGGACCGATTGCTCAATGTTTCCACTCAATGTTGGGAAAATCTGCAGAAACAGAATAATGTCTCAATTTCCCACAATGAAAAAAAGCGTCTGCATTTAAATAGAGGGACTGAGATAAGATATTATTGAAAAAAAAAAAAAGAATAATAATTGATTAAGTGGCATGCACAGCCCTGCTTTAAATAAAACAAAAAGAGGAAAGATTTATAGATTTTAAGCAACAAAAACACATTAATTGGAATTGCGTTTGACGTCTTTCCATATGCAGCCTCTTGTATCTTAATTATGTAAAATTTGTAATGAAATAGTTAAATGTGTCAGGTGCATGTTTCATTTAAAGTTCACGGTTTAGCACATGTGAACCTGACACGAGAAATTAATCCTGAGGACCTCTGGGACTCTGTTGCTGCACTCTACCGCCATCTGCTGGACAGACCACACATCCTAGGCATTTAACGGAAAGAACAATGGCATTATTGTGTAATAAATGATGTAGCAAACGAAGCATCTACTATCTTGTCTAAACGGTTTCTCGCTGATATATTAACATAAATAACTAATTAAAGTTTTTTTTTATCACCCTAGCTGATAATGCTGGAAATACCATGACATTGAGCATTTACTTTAGATCAAATGCTATGTTATGTTCTCCAAAAGACTACAGAAAGAGAAAGAATATTGAAAAGAAAATAACACAGTATGCAATTTTTTATCATGAAATTAGATTTTTAATTTTTACAATAAGTAGCTACATGGGAACAAGTGAAAAATTCTTCAGAAAAAGTGTGTGTCTCTGGTTTTATTTCTGCAGTTAACTGCAATCGTTTCATTTGTTAACTTTTTTGAAGTTTTATAGCTTTTTATTAAGGCTTTTATTAACAAATTACGGTAGCTGAGGGTTGCAAACTCTGTACGTACACATGATCATGAAGCAAATTAAAAAAATTCCTGAAAACATGAAAATGAAACCATCCATCCATTCTCTTCCACTTATCTGGGGTTGGGTCGTGGGACCATCCATCCATCCATCCATCCATCCATCCATCCATCCATCCATCCATCCATCCATCCATCCATCCATCCATCCATCCATCAAATATTAACAGGATGCTATCCAGAGGACCTCTGGAAGGAGTAAAGAAAAGGTAAGTTTTCTTTATCATTCAAAAAAAAACACTTAGTATTTGATCTTCAAAGATCTGAATAGGTGCAAAATTTCACATGCATTTTTTTAGTAGACCAATGTGCAATAAGCAGGTAATCAGCAAGGTTTGTTGCATAAATGTTAAAACATACAATTTGGTTCCATGCATTATGTTCTATAGGCAGTTTGAAAGAGACCATGAGAGAAAGATTAGGTTTAAAGCTATAGTAGTTGGAGGTAATAATAATAGTCATTTAAAAAAAAGATAATGCTAAGTAATATTTATACCTAGTGGACCTCGTAGCCTATCGCAAAATGCTCCAAACAAAAATAACACAAATCGCACACAATTATGTTTTACTATATTGAGAAAGAAATGCAGGCTCTTTTAATATTCTATTTTTTCAATAAACATTCCACAGGTTCACCTGTTTTAAGAAATGCAAACACACAAAAAATCAGGCCTTTGATCCCATATCCTCCCGTTCATGCTTTTACAAAGAACATAAATTAAACAATGATCATCTCCCCCTAGTGGTCTGGAGCACTTCCATTATGAGGCATTGTTTGCAGTTTTTGTTTTACTTGCATTTGTTTGGTGTGATAATGTGTTTACATCATTTGCACAAGGTTTTGTGTTTGCAGGGCGTTTCCACTTTACCTTTTTCTATTTTCGGTGCTCTAGCATTTTTATCTTTGCATCTGTTTATTTGTGTTAGTAATAAAGTCATTTTTTGTTTATGATAAACTTTTTTAATATGCTGTTAAACTATGTATTTGCACAGCTTTTGCACCTGATGGCCACCATATCAAATACTCAGTTATTTAAGTAATTGTTACTAAAATATCTGACTTTTTCCCCCCATTATTTCTAGATTTTAGACTTTGATGATATCCACTGCTAGGTCGTATCCAGTCTTATGTTAACCAAATCTGAGCTTTTTATTATTGGTGTTGATCACTTGGTTTACCACAGATTCTCCAATATTTTGATATGATGTTTTTTTTTTTTTTTTTTTTAGCTCCTGACTTCTAAAACAGTGCTCTTCGCTGTTGAAAAAAAAAGGCAGATTGGAAGCACATTTGTCCCAAACAGTTAACAGCATGTGGAGATCATTTTGATCCTGCTCATTATTTGATCATTTAAGAAGTATTTTTTCTTGGATGTTGTGGAAGAATAATAGATTTTGAGATGGCTAAAAATGTTTCCATGCAGGACCACTATTGCTAGCACAAAAAGATGATTCATTTAAACATCTTTGCCCATAATTATCAATATAACTCAGCTTATTAGATTAAAGAAGTGATTTCAGCTGGGCTCTTCCACGGCTTCACTTATACTTTTGATATGACTCGGCTCCCAGGGCTCCCAGGGCAGAGATATAGAAATGTCGTTTTTTGTTATAAAACAAGTTTTTTAAATCAAACATTTATGCAAAGAAACTTAAATATATTTGCATTAAGAAACACTTAATACATTCTACATTTGTAAGCTGTTCTGTAAATAGTGAAGGCATAGACTCAAACTTGAAAATACTATAGGCAATCTTTATGCCATTACTTTGATAGCATGGTCACCTTGGACTATAAAATATGACATTTTTATGTTTTAACGTCCTGTGTTGAACTATTAACATTTATTTGAATGAACCACCAAAGGAACCCTACTAGACTGAACCATCTAACCCTACATGTGGTAATTAAGAAGAGCCCCACCTCATTACAAGATGGTGTTGCTTAGACACAGATAATTAGTTTAACCAGAGATGCCTTAGGGCATCTACTGCTACACTTTGCAGGGGGTCTTTTATGCATGATAAGTAATTTCTACATGTACTGTCCATCTGTAATTTAAAAAGTTTGAAAATGAAGCATCTTTCATTTCTATATTGCTGTCTTTGCAACATACTTGGGTTCTTGAACTAATTGGGGTGAAACAAACGAATAACAGCAGGATGCTTCATGATCTTTGAAAACCTATTATTAATTGGGGGGTGTGGGATTTGTGACCTTCATTAAGTCATATTTATTTATTATCAGCTATAAACAGCAGCTGGGATTTAGGTGTTAACCCTAGTAATTGACATTGCTGGTGTTTATTTAAGCCGTTGGCCCATGCAGTCAATTTAAGTTGAATTCTTTGAATACAGTTGACAGTTGAAGTGCAATCCCCAAGGTTATCCAAAAGTTTGATTTTATTGTAGGAGGTTTAAAAATTTCACAGGAAGAATGAATGATATCAAAAGAACTATATAAAACACAGAACATGACAGCAGAATTTAGATGCTTATTCTGTCTATTTACCTGGCCTGTAATTTAAGTAACTAATAAGTAACAAAAACAACAGTAGTTAATACTATAACTAAAGTGGTATTTTATGGCCATAGGTTTACAATTTTCAGAATTAAATAGTTCCTAGGGTGTGTTTCAGTAACTACAAGTTTTATACACACTAGTAAACATTTCCAATTGGATAAACTATATTGTTTCTGTTTTAGAATAGATTAATTAATATCATCAGTAGTATTTGCTTAGTACCAGAATAAGGAGAAATGATCATGGTTTTTGCAACAAAGCTACCACAATAGAAGTTTTAGTCTATTTCTTGTTTCTGAGCCGGGTTATTAGCTCAGCTGTGGTAATAAATGTCCTACTGGATACCTATCCCTAATAAATACCCACTGTAATTGCCTTGCTCATTTTTAAGCAACTTTGTAAGTAATATAGCTGTATTATTATTGTTGTTGTCCATTAGCATGCTGTCCATTCAGTCGACGCCTTAAGACCATAATGTCTTACCTTATACTGCTTCTATTTTTCAAGTGCTCCAAGCTCTCCAACACCCACACAGCATGCTTTGCCTATGCTTGCTTTTCAGGACTGTGTTTTCCTTTCTGTCACTTTTCCTTTCTTCTTTCTACAATGGTTGCAAATATACAGCAGGGTAAAAATTATTATGATTAAACTGATATGAGCACAACAAGAAATTTGAGGGTGGAAATGATGAGAGCACATTAGAAATGGATCACAAACCTGTCTCAGTTACAACACAACACCGACGATTTTTACCGATTGTTGTAGTTTAAAAACAAATCATATCAAATACTAAGGAAATGTATGTAGAATTCCCTTATTTAAAAAAAACAGGCAAACATAAAGCATATACAAATAAGAAAATATCTGTTTTTTTCTTGCCTTGAGGAAATAGAAAGTCTTGTCAATACTAACTGACTTATGACAGAAAAACATTCAGTCTGATTCAATATAGACCATTGAGAAAAGAGGTCATGCAATGGAAAGTTACAAGTGAGATAAAGATCTCTTACTTAATGGACTCTGCCTGTGGAAAGAGCTCCAAGTTTCTAGAATTTAGCTCAAAAGTCACTTTTGAAAAAAAAAAAAACTGTACTTGAAATGGCTTGCAGCCAAATCTGTAGAGTTATGGAGGACACACTAACCATATTTCTTTTTTCAGCTATTATTACTCTTGTATACCACTAATATAAGCACTATATTGCCAAAAGTTTACGCTCACTTGCCTTTGGCTCGGAAAATGAACTTAATAGACATCCCTATTCTAATCCATAGGGGTTGAACATGACGTTGTTCCACCCTCTGCAGCTAAAGAACAGCTTCAATTTTTCTGGGAAAGTTGTCCACAATGTTTAGGAGTGTGTTAATAGTGTTTTTTTGACCATTCTACCAGAAGCAGGTGTTGGATGAGAAGGCCTGGCTCCAGTGGTTATAATAGGATCAGAGGTTTAAGAGTACTTAGCACCCATAGAGTTGTCTGGCC